CTATCTATCTATCTATCTATCTATCTATTTATCTATCTATCTATCTGTCTATCTATCTATCTATCTATCTATCTATCTATCTATCTATCTATCTATCTATCTATCTGTCTATCTATCTATCTATCTATCTATCTATCTATCTATCTATCTATCTATCTATCTATCTATCTATATATCAATTTATACATCTATTTATCTATATTTAAACTGCTCATTTTATTTAACCATTTGTCTTTCTATCTATCTATCTAACTGTCTATGTCATCGGCCTGTCGTGCGCTTAAATCAATTTTTCCGCTACCCCCCCAGCAATGAATCATACCAAAGCGTCAAATGTATCATGCATTATACATTTTCTGCGTCATATGTATCATGCATTATGCATTTTCTGCGTCATATGTATCATGCATTATGCATTTTCTGCGTCATTTCTAATAAAATTTACCATTACACGGTGTAATTCTGAAAAACATGATTTCGTAAACTTCTTCTGAAAACTGAAATTTTCATCTCAATAGTTCTTAAAGAGACTGATGGCGAAATTTCAAGTAACCCTTCATTTATAAAGAGACCATTCACAACGGTACCCTTTTATCCTTTTCAAGGATGAGGGATATTTTCTTATTTTTCTAACTGAAAATTTGAGTGCCATGAAACAGATGGTTCTAAGGAGTGCACTTGAAATTATGTTAAAAGTTAAATTCAAGAGAACTTCACAAAAAAAGTAAATACAATTCAATCAAACGCAAAAAACATCGGGTTACAAATATATAGGGATTAAAAAATCTGAGTTTTTGCCAAAAACTCTTTTTCTTTTAGAATAAAGATAAAAAACAGATAAACTTATCCGAATAATAATAAATAATAAAGAAACTCGAATAATTATTTTTATCAAATGTTTTTATTACGCAAAATTTCACTAAACACAATAAATCTAAAGTGTAAAAAGAAATGAAAATAAATGAAGCTTTTTCTGATCTAGAAATTCCATTATTTCAGGTGACATTAATAAACCTATGGTTGCAGGGTTGAAAGCACATTTTGGCAACAAACCAGGATTTATGTTTTATAATTTATTATTTCAAAATCAATATTTGATCTAGATTCTACAGGGCGGTCCAATAAACATAGGAAATGACTATGATTGACGACATTGATTCACGCAGCATCCTGAACAGCTGTCGGTTTTTCCGAAATGAGTCATTTTCAAACCTTCCCAATTTTAGAAATACAAAGAAGAAAAAAGCACATTTTTAAAAGTTTATAACACGCACAACATTTTTTGCGTTCTATGTCATTTCTCAACTTAAAATCAGAGACAATTTTACAGTCATCTTCTAATTCTCATGTTTATTGGGACACCCTGTACAGTAAATATATTTAGTCTATAAATATAATGGACTGATGTTATTATTTACACAATTTATTTATGATATTTAAAAACTGTTGATAACTTACATGACTTTTGACTCACTGTATAAGTTACTCGTCTCGTGATACAAAGAAACAACATCTGCGCATATCAAATACTTCTGAGGTTTACATCTTATATCTGTCAGCTAAATGAAACAAACAGAAAACTGACTCTTTAACCTTTTATAATTCCAGATTCAAAATGTTTACACCAGACAATGAACCTTTAAAGAAGGATAGATAGACGTATAGACGGACAGAAAAAAGGATGCATAAAATGTTGTGGAATCATTGGTTTTGGATAACCTACTTTATCACAGCAGGTATATCATACAACTGTAAATATACTTGCTCAAAAAAATGTTTTAGCTAAGAGACCTTTTCATACTTTCTAAACCTTGGACAGTTATTTTTAACGGATATTTTTCCTAAAATACTGAATATTATTGAAAAATCAGAATGGTCTTTTGAATCAGGAATAATTGTTCTTGTTGAATTCCGGAATTTTGTCTGATATCCTGCATATATTTCAAATTCCGGACAAACTCCGGAATAACTTTCTAAAATTCTAGAAATCCGGGCTAATTTGAAACTAAGATTATTTTAAATTGTTTTCCAAAGGAATTGAGTCTTTGTCACAAACTATGATTTTCTAATCTCTATATCTTTGTAATCAAATGCCGTAGACCTTAGATATTTCAAACTATGAATTCTGTTAGATGAAAAAATCCAAGTTTGAAATAGCAAATGTTTACACCATCAGGTGGAAAAAATATAGGTATTAGAAAATCAGAGTTTGTTACAAAGACTTAATTCCTTTCCTCAGTATTTTAATAAAGCTTCTTCTTTTGTCTTAAAGATGAAATATTACTGTAAGAACTTGNTTCTCATACCGTAATGAGATCCCTTCTCTTGATCCAGTTCTATTCTAGATTCAGTCTTCTGATCCATACTTCTCATACCGTAATGAGATCCCTTCTCTTGATCCAGTCCTTAAATACCCGAGATCATGAAATTGCGAGTAAAAATGCGGGATAAAAATTCTCCCAAAATTGAATAAAATAAAATCAATCCCAGAATGCCGAAAAAAAAAATTATTGACTCACCCTGTAAATATCTTTTAGGCACCAGAGTATTTTTCTACCTTAACAAAAGATATTTTTTTACGTTGTAGGTTTTGTCGTGGCCGGGGTACTGTCAGTACCAGTCAAACAAAAGGTTAGTTCACGAATATTTTCATTTAGCTTTTTTTCTGAGGAGAGCGCAATCTGCAATACACTTAGATAAGCATTTATTCTTTTCATTGTTTGGAAAGTTTTATTTCGTTAATAAATACAATAAATTAAAATATAAAATTTCCATATAGTTATAATTAACTGCAATGTTTTCTTTTTCGTTTTTAATCAAGATTCTGGTATTTAATTATTTAAAACCCACAAAATGTTTTTTAAAAGAAAGTTTAATCAAATGGTATTTTTGTCACATTTTACTTAGTAATTAGTTGCAAAAATATTTGTTATTAAGTTTGAATTTTCTGGATTTTTCTCTGTTTCGACTCCCCAGAGCGTAACATAAAATTTTATTTCAGACACAAAACTTTTCATTCGTAAATAGTTTAAAGAAGGGGGAGGGGGGGGGGGACCGGGGGGGATTGACGAATAAATTTTCTTCCAATTAGTTAACTTAGGAGACGATTTTTTCTTTTTCTTTGTTATAATATTTTTTTCATCCATGTCTTGCGATTAAAATCTGTCGATCATGTCTTCAATGCCATGCTCCTTATTCTGTCTTCAGATCCATTCTCTTGAACATGTCTTGAGATCCATTCTCCTCATTCTGTCTTAAGATTCATTCTTCTTATTCTGTCTTAAGATCCATTCTCTTGAACATGTCTTGAGATCCATTATCTTGATCCTGTCTTGAGATCGATTCCCCTCATTCTGTCTTAAGATCCATTGTCTTGAACATGTCTTGAGATCCATAATCTTGATCCTGTCTTGTAATATACATTTTCTTCATCCTGTCTTGAGATCCATTCTCCTTATTCTGTATTAAGAATCATTCTCTTGATCCTGTCTTATGATACATTTTCTTCATTCTGTCTTGATATCCATTCTCCTCATTCTGTATTAAGAATCATTCTCTTGATCCTGTCTTGAGATCCATTCTCCTCATTCTGTATTAAGAATCATTCTCTTGATCCATCCATTATCTTGATCCTGTCTTATGATACATTTTCTCCATCCTGTCTTGAGAACCATTTTCCTCATTCTGTATTAAGAATCACTCTCTTCATCCTGTCTTGAGATCCATTCTCTTGATCCTGTCTTGTATTATACATTTTCTTCATCCTGTCTTGAGAACCATTTTCCTCATTCTGTATTAAGAATCATTCTCTTGATCCTGTCTTGAGATCCAATCTCCTTATTCTGTATTAAGGATCACTCTTTTGATCCTGTCTTGAGATCCATTCTCCTTATTCTGTATTAAGAATCATTCTTTTGATCCTGTCTTGAGATCCAATCTTCATATTCTGTATTAAGATCCATTCTCTAGAACATGTCTTGAGATCCATTATCTTGATCCTGTCTTGTATTATACATTTTATTCATCCTGTCTTGAGAACCATTTTCCTCATTCTGTATTAAGAATAATTCTCTTGATCCTGTCTTGAGATCCAATCTTCTTATTCTGTATTAAGGATCACTCTTTTGATCCTGTCTTGAGATCCATTCTCCTTATTCTATATTAAGAATCATTCTCTTGATCCTGTCTTGAGATCCATTCTCTTGATCCTGTCTTGTAATATACATTTTCTCCATCCTGTCCAGAGATCCATTCTCCTTATTCTGTATTAAGAATCACTCTCTTGATCCTGTCTTGAGATCCATTCTCTTGATCCTGTCTTGTAATATACATTTTCTCCATCCTGTCCAGAGATCCATTCTCCTCTTTCTGTCTTGAAATCCCTTTTTCCTCATCCTTTCTAAAGATCCATTCTCTTAATTCTCTCTTCCGATATCCATCGCCCCGATCCTGTTTTTCAGAACTCTACTCTTTATCTCTTTATCCTGCTTGCAGAGTCCTATTCTAGATTCAGTCTTCTGATCCATACTTCTCATACCGTAATGAGATCCCTTCTCTTGATCCAGTTCTATTCTAGATTCAGTCTTCTGATCCATACTTCTCATACCGTAATGAGATCCCTTCTCTTGAACCAGTCCTAAGATAAAAATTCTCTTCAATCTTTTTCATTGTTATACTGTCTAATATAATACTGAGTGCCTAGACTTAGATTATTTAGATTTCTTTCTTTCCCAGCGGAAATGTTTTCTAGACGTAATGTTACCATGACGAAAAGTTACTGAACAGGGTTGATGGAGGGGGGAGGAGGCTAGATCTCAGACTTTTTGTAAAAATTTAAATGTTTCAGGTTGACACAGAATTAAACTCAGATGAAAATTCAACTGTACAATCTCTCCTTTCCACCACAAACCCGGAGCAGGGTTTGGAGGAGAGCAAAACCATTCTCCCCTGGTTTGCGGAGAGGCTGGGGAATCTAGATGAAGAACGGAATGAGTTTCCAAGTTCAGGTTCTGGTAGTTTAGTTTTCAACACTCAGACAAGAAATACAGAATCTACAGGTACAGGTACAGGTACAGGTTTATGTACAGTTTAGGTATAAATACAGGTACAGATATAAGATACAGCTCAGGTACATTTTTAAAAGAAAAAGATACAGCTGCAGGTACGGATAGAGGTACTGGTATTGAAATAGATAAAGATACAGATAGGTCTAGGCTGGTTTTTAGGTCTGAAAGTTAAGAATCGTGTAGTGCTTATGTTTAGAGGTATAAAGGTTAAGGATGATTGTGTGGTTATGGTTTAGGTTTAGGTCTACAGGTTTAGGATTGTGTACTTAAGGTTTATATATATATATAGGTCTGAAGGTCTAGGATTGTGTACTTAAGGTTTATATATAGGTCTAAATATTTAGGATTGTGTAGTTAAGGTTTATATATATGTATACAGGTTTAGGATTGTGTAGTTAAGGTTTATATATAGGTCTAAAGGTTTAGGATTGTGTAGCTAAGGTTATATATAGGTCTAAAGGTTTATGATTGTGTAGTTAAGGTTTATATATAGGTCTAAAGGTTTAGGATTGTGTAGTTAAGGTTTATATATAGGTCTAAAGGTTTAGAATTGTGTAGTTAAGGTTTAAATATAGGTTTAAAGGTTTAGGATTATGTAGTTAAGGTTTATATAGAGGTCTAAAGATTTAGGATTGTGTAGTTAAGGTTTATATATAGGTCTAAAGGTTTAGGATTGTGTAGTTAAGGTTTATATATAGGTCTAAAGGTTTAGGATTGTGTAGTAAAGGTTTATATATAGGTCTAAAGGTTTAGGATTGTGTAGTTAAGGTTTATATATAGGTCTAAAGGTTTAGGATTGTGTAGAGTAGTTAACAACTAAGTTATGCCTGTCATAAACATTTATAGTTGAAGCTTGGAGTCAATTCACTTTCCTAGAAATCTAGAATTTATAGCGGTCCTGTCTTTTTTTACATCCAGGTCTATCAGTTAACTCAATCAAATAGGACTGGCTCTAAATGCCACACAGTGACACAAGCATCCAATAATATAGGACTCAAGCTTAGACTCTATACTCAACCAGGACCGGTTCTAAATGCCACACCGGGACACAAGCATCCAATAATATAGGACTCAAGCTTAGACTCTATACTCAACCAGGAGCGGTTCTAAATGTCACACAGGGACACAATCATCCAATCCAATCGTACCACAAGTTTACAGAATATCACCTTTTTGCTACATATCTGTCTATCTATCTCTCTATCTATCTATCTATCTATCTATCTATCTTTCTATCTTTCTATCTATCTATCTTTCTATATATCTTAATATCCCTAAATAGCTGTTAATCTAAGTATTTATCTGATTTTCTGTCGGTCTATCTGTCTGTTGATCTGTCTATCTGTCTGTCTATAAGTCTGTTTATATGTCTGTCTATCAGTCTGCCTGTCTGTCTGTCATCTGTCCGTCTATATGTCTTTCTATCCGTCTGTCTATCTGTCTGCCTATCTGTCTTCCTATCTGTGCGCCTATCTGTCTGTCTATCTGTCTTTCTATCTGTCTGTCTATCTGTCAGTCTATCTGTCTCTCTATCTGTCTGTCTATCTGTCTTTCTATCTGTCTATTTGTCTGTTTATCTGTCCTGTATATCTGTCTGTCTATCTGTCTGTCTATCTGTCTGTTTATCTGTCTGTCTATTTGATCTTGTAGAAGACATTTTTTTGTACGTAACAGGGTGAGTATAAATGAAAACTGGGATAAAAAATTGACAAATTCGCAGATTACTCACCCTGTTCTATCTAGTAGTGCAACAGTCAATCATGCCGAAACACGTCATGCACATCATAAAAGCAGTCATTGAACATTGATATATCAAGTTTCTCTAGAACTGATTCATTTTAAACCACAGCACTTAGTGTTTAAAGGTTATTAAACATACCATGACCATTTTAGAGCCCGGGACAGAAGTACCTGGACCGGAAAATTCATCAAAAGACTCAAAAAACCTGGAGAAAAGGTTTGATCCTAGCTCCGAGAGTGAAGTAGGATCGGAGAGGGACGGAAAAGCTCTAAATGTTCCGGTTCATATTAAAGTTTCCTCCGAGTATATATTATCTACTCTTCATCCAACCTTCAGGAAAATAAAATTATATTCTTTATCATTTTTTAATTGAAACCTGAAAGAGTCTCTCGATCATTTAATTATTATTAATCATTCTTTAATTGAAAGATTAAAGGGTATCTTGATGCAATACAATTGACCTCGTTTTTATAAAAATTACATGCTTAAAAATTTTTTTGATAAAGTTTTAAGAGAATATATAAAAAAGAGCATTATTACTTTTTGAACCTTTTATAAATAAAGGATTATAATCATTAACATTCGGATTATTGAAATCTGGAAGGGACACTTGGCTTAGTTTTAAGAGAACCATTAAACAATTAAAACCTCTAGAAATATGATGTGTATACGTTTCATTTCTTTTCTTTAAAAGTAATTCAATATATTTCTCTGGCAACGATAAGTAAGAAAATTGTCAAGATTCCTGATAGAGCACGAAGATACATTTTAAAATTTTCTTAGATAACAAGATAATATTGAGTAGTGATACAGTGAAAACCAGAAAACAGAGGAATTATCGTTGTCTACTGTTTTTTCTTCTATGAAATGTCACTTAGAATTCTGTAACTTGTAGTTTAACCAGTTCTTCAAGAAATGCACTAAAAAGCATTTGCGTCAATTTCAAATTAAAAAATTCTTAACGACATTTTAAAATTGTAATGAAGTACATAGACGACATTCATTCCACATAAATGGTTATCGCATAAATGAGTTAAGACCAATGACCTGTTTGCTATTTTACACTAAACTTTAAAAATCTTGGATCCATTTTCCTTTTCTATTAGAACTTTTCTGCCCACCCTCCCCCCTCCACACCCTTTTTAATTTCTTCTATTTGGTTTAATTTGACTAAAAACCTGGTCCGTCCTTTCTTTGTTGAAAGTTTCCGAGTGTTTCTGTTTATCTTTGATTACTGCTCTGCTCAATGAAGGGGAAAATTAAATATTAATAATTCTCACTTATTAAACTTAATTAAACTAATCAAACAAGGGACTGAAAAGTAAAATTTATTAAGCCTGATCCGAAAATGTTTGTTCAAGTTCTCTTAAAAACCACAATTTTATTTATTTAGTCCTACTCTGGGTAGGGTTGAGGGTCTACTAGTTCCAATGATAAGCGGATCCTTTACTCCAAGATGGAACTCCCCCTCCTCCTCCTCCGCCCCCAGCTCTAATCCATGGAGCAACCTAAACCAAACTCAGGGTGAAAACCCAACCAGTGATGCTCATTTGGCTTTTATAACCAACCCGAGTGATATTAAACCAAAGACGAGCGAGTTTAACTCTGGACTATCTGAACCTACAGGATATATATCATTAAAGGAAACCAACATGTCAACCAAACGCCCCAGGAAGGAAAGTGAAGACAATACACACAAAGAGATAATTCCCGAGATAAAGTTTAGCGTAAACCAAGATACACTAAACAGAACACTAATCCACGATCTCAAAACTAAATCCACGAACCGGAGGGAACCAGTTGAAAATAATTTATCGGAAACCCCGGATTCTTACGGAATCCTAAACAAAAATCCAGGAAAGCATGAAATACAAAAATCTGTGGAAACTTAAACAAATTTAAATATTATGAAATTGCGTCTATTTAGATATTTATGCTCCGTAGACCGTGGTTCCGATTTCCTTGAAAACAAGTCCTTTGTCCCCCCGCCTCGACCTTATATATAATCTACAATCTTCTCACTGGTTTATTTTAAACCAAATATCGTTTAAACATTTTAAAAAGAATTAAAAGAATTTGAAGTTATGACATGCAATGCTTAGTTTTGGAAGAAGATGTAAGCGACGACGATGAACCCAATCAATCCGAAAGAATTGAAGTGGCGCGAACCTCCGAGTCCCGAGAAATAAAACCGGGACGGATGGGTTCAGATGATCTTGGTAGATCACTAGATCTCCAGGCTGAGCTTCTAGAGGTTCCATCTCAGCAACTAGTTCCTCAACAAGAGTTAAGACTGGAAGGAGAGGGAGAGGATCGGATTACGTTTGAGATTGAACGAAGACGACGGACGAGTTTTTTGGATATCAGTAACGTTGTCGGGATAGCCTTAGGGCTTCTAGTCTTCCTTCTTATTCTCTCAGGTGAGAACTTCTTCATCTTTTAATCAAAAAGTTGAACTTTTTTCGTTCTTATAATCTTATAAATCTCTTATATTTCCCTTTTTTTAATTTTATGTACCAATCAATTACAAAGGTTTTCGAGACACAGACATTTTGAATTTACAGGACACTTAATATATGTCAATTTAAAGGTAGAATAAAGGCGGAACACAATTAAAAAATCCCATCTACCGGAATTTCCAACATTCAACTATTTGTTTGTGGCAAAGGCCCAATTAATTTTTCCCAGTTATGACACCATGAAAATGTCCAAATGAGAAATCAACTTTTAAAATATTCCCTTTATGTAGGAGTAGCAGGTGGATTACTGTACAGACGACAGTACAGTCAGAAGAGACAAGGAGAGAGATTTTCTAATTTTGATTCGAGTAGTTTCGCGGGCAGTGATACATTCAATACCATCAGCTATGCTGACTGTGCTGGGTTAGAGGTTAATAAGGTAATTATTTTTAAACTTAAAAAAAAAATATTTTCTTAAACTTTAAAAAAAGGTATTTTCTTAACACTTTAAAAAAAAGTTATTTTCTTAACACTTTAAAAAAAGTTATTTTCTTAATACTTTTTTCTTTTTTGAAAATGTACAGCTCTCTCTTTCCGGTGTAAGTTTCGTAAATGCGCAACCAAGATATTTTGTTAAAAAAAATTCCCAGAGTTTTGAATCATTCCTATAATTACAAAAAGCATGTCATTTAACCGTTTGCCTCTGTTTTTGACCTAGAAATTCCTTACTATCAATTTCTGGGGGCCGCGGCGTCTCCCGTGGGGAAACTATATGAGGGCACCCCCCTCAGTCTCCACTAAACCACACTGTTTCTTCGGTCAGAATACTGCAGATCACTACGATACGCACTGAAAGCTTAGTTTAGGGTGCCCCCTCCCCACAGTGGGGTATAATGGGGGGGGGTCAGCCAAAATGATTTTATTTCATAAACCTCTTATTTATGTCAAATAATGCTTGGCAGCTTAAGAATTTTTTTTATAGAAGTCTCTAAGTGTTTTAAATGTTATGTTTTAGTTAAGAATTTCGATCAAAAACCCGCTATATCATCGAAAACTCTTAAAGTAGGATTTTTCAACACGCTACTCTGATTAAATTTAGGTTTTGGCGTGCTGCTGGCGCCCCTAAATCTTTTCTATATGGTTGTAGGAATCAATTTATATATTAAGATTATCCCGAAACTCCTGTGCTTTTACTATGAAATATATGCTTTTTCTTCCAAAAAGCTCACTGTTACAAAGACGACATCTGAATATATTTCGAGTTTACAGGATCCTTTCAAGGATAAATATGTGAACGGGAAAAGTAATTATAAATATTGAAATCTGTATTTGTAAATGAAAGGATTATCAGAATATATTTATTCTGTCCATTCTCACCATGGAGCACAAGACAAATGCATTTTAAGAGGAGTATTGTGACAAAAACTAGTCACCCCTCCCCCATGACCCCCTAAAATACCCCACTGTGCCCCCCCCCACTTTGTAAATGTAAATTGTATATGTTTAATAAGAACAGCGTGTAATAAGTTTGGAAAAACTTTACCAACATTTCCTGACATTTCTATTGATATTTTTTACCTTTTCTATCTTTTATTCAGATAATCACGTTTCTCCAATATATTGGTTTTCAGATATATTAATGGATTGACCCATAAAATATATCAAATATATAAACAATAATATATACATTACGGTTACAAATGAATATATTTAATGACATGTTTCACCAGTTCTATGCCAATGATATAATTCATCCAGGAACTATAATATGTGGTCCAAGAATTGGAAATGTAAAAAGAACTGACCAAAAAAAAACACTTTTAATGGATGTTTTTTAGGATAAAAAGATTTCTAATTTGTTTTAATCTTTCCAGTGAAATAATTACTGCTGTCTCTTGTGCAGTGCACATCGAACTTAACAATTACGCTTTTTTAAATGTAAATTTTTATGATGGTTATTAAATCGTCATTCATTTTTTTTTCATACATTTTAACTTTTGACAGGGGTTTCTCAATAAAGTTTCAGACAAAAAAGATTTACATATGATTTTTTAATAAAAAAATTGCTTCAGAATGCGTTAACAGCTTTTTCTCTTTAGATTCAATTTTGCAAGATTTATTTTAAAATATAATTTAATTTGTATTTTAAAAGAAAATGGTAGATTTAAAACAAAGCTGGAAAAGCTAGAGTTGCCGGAATTCGATATTTTAGTCGTTTTTCATGAATAAGGTTGAAGGCACAGCACTGCACCCTGCTTATATATTCTAACTGAGAATTCTGAATTCTATTTGATGAAAAAAAAACTCAAAGCCCTGGAATACAGGAAAATGCAATGATTAATTATTCAAAGTCCAATTTTGTATTCTATCATAATCCAACACAATCTTAAATCCTTTAAACAACTTCAAAATAATCCTTGAATCTTGAATCCTTATTCTAGAATATAATCCTTGAATCTTGAATCCCTTTTCTAGAAAATAATACTTGAATCTTGAATCCCTATTCTAGAATAAAATCCTCGAATCTTGAAACCCTATTCTAGAATATAATCCTTGAATCTTGAAACCCTATTCTAGAATAAATCCTTGTTTCTTGAATCCTCATTCTAGAATAAAATCCTTAAAATCTTGAATCCCTATTCTAGAAAATAATCCTTGAACCTTGAATCCCTATTCTAGAATATAATCCTAGGTCTTTGAATCCCTTTTCTTGAAGAAAATTCTTTAATCTTGTATACCTATATAATCCTTGTTTCTTGAATCCCTATTCTAGAATTTAATCGTTGAATTTCTAATCCTCATTCTAGAATAAAATCCTTAAAATCTTGAATCCCTATTCTAGAATATAATCCTTGAATCTTGAATCTCTATTCTAGAAAATAATCCTTGAATCTTGCATCCCTATTCTAAAATAAAATTCTTGTTCCTTTAATCCCTATTCTAGAATATAATCCTTAAATCTTGCATCCCTATTCTAGAATAAAATTCTTGTTCCTTTAATCCTTATGCTAGAATATAATCCTTAAATCTTGAATCTCTATTCTAGAATAAAATCCTTGAATCTTGAATCTCTATTCTAGAATTCAAAGTCAACAATTCTTCTATCCACATACTTTATTTTCTCCCAAATATTCGATTTGAATAAATTGGATTGCATTTTGGATTTATCTACGTACTCCTCAATATTTATTGATCGGGATGAAAACTGTTCAAGTATCACTCACATAATGAACATAATTCTAAATTGATCTGAAACATTTTGTGTAATTTGTCAATTTTTGCTACTTCTTGTTAAACGGAACTAATTACTCGCCCCAAATTCTAATTTTTGATCAAATCCAAGGTATAAGCTTCATCAGGTTGCAAAGATATAGAGATGAGAAAATTCGAGTTTATAGCGAGTGTTCATGTCCTATACATGCCGCTTCATGCGGCTCAAAGTTAATAATATTCATATTTTGTTAATGACTTTAATTAAATACATGTTAGCTAATTAAAACATTGCAGGTTTCATTTTAAAACCCTAAAACTATTATGTCTTTTTAGGATAATTCGAGTGAAGAACTTTACAGCTTAGACAACGATTCTTTTCTCAACAGTTTAGAAGCTATGACATTCTCATCACCAGGGGATACCTGGGATACCAGGCATACAAACCTATAGGATACCTGGGATACCAGGCTTACAAACCTATAGGATACCTGGGATACCAGGCTTACAAACCTATAGGATACCTGGGATACCAGGCATACAAACCTATAGGATACCTGGGATACCAGGCATACAAACCTATAGGATACCTGGGATACCAGGCATACAAACCTATAGGATACCTGGGATACCAGGCTTACAAACCTATAGGATACCTGTCATACCAGGCTTACAAACCTATAGGATACCTGGGATACCAGGCATACAAACCTATAGGATACCTGGGATACCAGGCTTACAAACCTATAGGATACCTGTCATACCAGGCTTAAAAACCTACAGGATACCTGGGATACCAGGCTTACAAACCTATAGGATACCTGTCATACCAGGCTTATAAACCTATAGGATACCAGGGATACCTGCAGGCTTACAAACCTATAGGATACCTGGGATACCTGCAGGCTTACAAACCTATAGGATACCTGGGATACCAGGCATACAAACCTATAGGATACCTGGGATACCTGCAGGCTTACAAACCTATAGGATACCAAGGATAACAATGGTACTACTGAGATACTTTAATGTTGAAAATATCTAAATTAACCGAGTTTATAAAGTTTTAAACCCTGAGATTTGTAAGTCTTTGATGGCACGATTAGGGATGAAATTACCCTTTATAAAACTCCGAATCGTGAGGATGGATTTGATGTCATGAATTCTGTATTTTTTTCATCATCCTTGTGCTTTATGCGGGAAATTATTGTGATACGTGTTCTGGAAACCCAAAACGCATGAATATTGACATAATGTTTTGAATCATAAAATTGAAATATTTGTTTTTTTTGTATCGAATTTTAATGTCGTTTATATTTTCGTATGATGATCTCAAATTAGGTTTATAATCTATATTTTTTTTAGTTTTTTTCGTATTTAGTCGTAAATTTGAGTTTTGGCCGGCTAGTGACTTTTTCCAGCTTTAATGTATAAATAAATGAGCATATCAATATTACTCAAAAATAGTCTATTCAATTAGTTATTGAAAAAAATCTTAAAAATACTACGGTAAGTTTTATTTTAATTTTCAAGAGCTTTTAACCTCGGTATTGCAAATGATTATTCGAAAAGTAATACCCTGGTAACTTTTATTTCACGATTTTTAGTCGATGTACTAGATTTATTTTTATATGTGTTTCGTGATGAGATTTGGATTTTTGACTTTAATTATCTGAATTAGGCAAACCAAAATTCGAGTAACTTTGCTGTATACATGAGCTTCAATTTCAAAACAAAATGACATTAGATGATCGTAAGTAAAATTATCTTATAATCAGTATTATTCCTAGATATTATAGATGTGTTATTACTTATGTATCATGAAAATATTTCAACAGTTCTATGTGATGTAAATATTAATATAATTATCAAATATAATATTTTTAATTAATATCTCTAAACATACTTAAACTTACGCAGTGCAAGGTTTATGGTGTTCAATAAAAAAATACTAGAAAAAAGAATGAAAATAATTGTTGTAATTTTTTTAAATATGAAAAATTTCTATGCATTTTGCGTCTTTCTTTCTGCACTAAACGCTATTCTAAAATTTATAGAACTAGGCTTTTAGGGCGCTTAGCGCCCATCTTCTATTTCAATTGTGAACATTTCATCTTTGTATACACTGTAAAACAAAACCAAAAAAAAAGTTCGCAGATTTTATAAAAACAATTTCCTGGATTTTCAAATTTAATAAAAATCGAATTTGTTGAAGGCAAATTTTTGAAATTCTGATCATTCATAAACCTTCCCTGTGATCATATGAGGCCCCACACAAAATTTGGGCCCGATCGGTTTAGCCGTTTGGACGTTTATTGGATCCACACAGACAAGCAAAGTATATACATACAGTGATGACCAGAAAACTCTGGAATAGGAAGATGACTTTTTAGCAATACTTAAGTGTATTTGATGTTGTTACAAAGAAAATAGTTTTACTAGACACTTATCAAATCACTAACTAAGTGATATTTGTGTATTATCACTGTCCAATTACTTATTCCCAGGCTCATATAGACTTTTTAAAGTTAAAACTAGACACTAAAAGTCGTCTTCCGATTCCGGAGTTTTCTGGCTATCACTGTAGATAGTTTAAGGCTTCACATTTCTTTATTCTACACAAATCTTTGGAAAATTAAAATTAAAGACAAAATGTTCCATTTTAGAAATTAAGCCAGTTGGAGCTGGATTTTTTCGGGGGGTGGGGGTAAATTATATCCAGATTCATTCTCCTTGCTCCGTTTCTAATTTTAGCGAACACTCCCTTAAAACAAAATTGAAAATTAAAATTTCACACTTTCAAGATGATGGCACGCGCACTAACAGAGCGCGAAGCCGCGAACTTTCTCCCTTTCTATTCAATTACGAAGAAAAATGTCGGAAAATTACCGAGCAGGCATATATGGCTTTAAGCCATGCTTACATCCATAAACAAAGTCGTCAAACCGTGAAATATAGAGTTGTATTTGCAAGGGTCTTTGCAATTTACCGGAGTTAAGGGGATTGTTCAAATAGAATTCTTGAAATCATGATTTTGGGGTTTTACTGTTACAACAATCATGCAATAGTTTCGTAGTCATGTTGGTTAATAGAATTTGCAAGATTAAATTTAGTAAAAATGTGCTCCTCCCTAATTGGATATCCTGTAGCCTAAAAAAAAGAATCCCCCCCCCCACTATTCCTTTTGAAAATAAATGCAGTGCCCCTTGAATAGGCTTCAAATATAAATACAATCGGCCTCTTCCACCTCCCCAGCCAGCACTCAATCTCAGACAAAGGCGCGCATACAGAAGTTGGCAAGGTACACAATAACAGTTTTTTCTAAAATATCACATATTTCTCTCGAACTGGCAATCATAGAGGGTTTTTGAAAACAGATAATATTGATAATAAAACTAAAAACTAGATTTTTACTTTTTACACATTGCACAAAAATTAATTTTTTGTTGCATATTTTGCTGTTCCCAAATTGGGCTTGATTACAAAACAAATCAGAGCTGGGAACTTTAGAATGGGTTATCCTTAATCCCGATCAGTTGATTAATCTGGAGATTAAAAAGAAGAGGAGAACAAGCATTATTTAATCTGGAGGATAAGAAAAAGAGGAGATTAAACATTAATCCCGATATCCACCATTGAAAAGTTGCCAGCTCAGATTTAGTAAAATAAAACTAAACTAAAATGTCAGAAAGTCGATTTTTTTTTTAAATAAACACTATGCTTAGAAGGATGCATGTTACTTTGCAATAATAGCTGATTTTTTTCATTGTTGAGAAATATTTTTACTTGGTGGCAGGTATAATGGCATCAAATAGACTTAAAAGTGAACATGTAGATATTTATCTTTAGAAATATGATCACCTTAAGTATAGTTTTTCAACGTTTTTTCTTCTAAATTTCAATTCCCCCTTCGCTTTCCTTTTGTATTGGATAATGATACCCCCATTTGGTAGAGGGGGGGGGGGCACAAAATTTTGTCCTATTCTAAAAGTCTAAAAAGATCAGATTTTATTTTTGAAACCTTCATTTGAATAATTATCTTTATAACCTCGTGCAGTAATTACTAAGTAGATAATTCAGTTCCTGAACTTAAAATGGGGTTTTAATTGGTTTAAAACATGGTATACTGCGACTGTCAGAGGCAATCATAGAAATTGGGGGGGGGGGCAAATAACTTCGAGACCCCCCCTGAAAATTTTTAGGCTTTTCTTTCTGTAAATTTTGAAGTCTATTTTAATAATCTTTTTCACGAGAAGGCAAATTTTACGTCACACAATTGCAAAAATTATATTTGGTAAAACAATATAAAGAATTTTTTAAGATTTTTTCCATTTGAATTCGGAAAATCTTGAGAGCTGTCCAATGATTCCAGTCAATTGTTCTAAAAGTTACAGTCGTTCCTCTGTGTAATCCACTCATTTGCAATAAACATTTTAGTATGCTTTGTCACGAAGTTTTTCTTTATAAATTCCTCTCTACACTCATAATTAAATTGCACAAAGCAAATTGTTGTAATCTCTCAGTGATAAACATAAAACAGTGGGATGACGGATGAGTGTCGTCTTCTTTCTTTTGGTATTGCGAAATGTGAACTCTGTCAACAGAGTCAACAGGACTTGTAAAATGAATGAAACTGATTGATTTATAAAAATGTGCCCTAGAGTGTTAACAGGGGCGTCCAAGAGCTTTAGTGTAGGAGGGGCACCTTTTTGTGCACCCCCTAGAATATTTTGTGCCCCCCCCCCTAAAAACAACCTATTTTGACAAAATTACTGATAAGTTTTTTATCGAATATTAAAGAACCTTATATCTTTCATACTATGGTCTTTGTTTGGTTTAGAACATATATTTATTTTTAATATTTAATTTTAATAAACTATTACTATATTAAAAACAGAGTGCCTAGTTCAGCCTTCCAATCATGTCATTGCAAGAGTTAAAGGTAGTCATTACAGTATCATTCTTTTCGGGTAACCCTATAAATGTATATTTATGGCTTTGAAATAACTATATGGAAAATTATATAACAAAGGACATATTTACATTTATATATCAAGGGCGTATACAGAGGGGGGGCAAGGAGGGCAGTACCCCCTAGACATTTAAGGGGGGGTAAGACCCCCTCCCCCAGAACTCAGAGCTTTCACACTTTTCAAATCTTAAACTCAAGAGTGAAGAACATGAAAAAATTAGTTTGCTGTTCATGTGCACTAAGAAGATAGTATACGTGGACCAGAGCCACCCTGACAGAAGTCCGAATGAAAAATCTATTTAGAATGCACATTCATCCTAATTTCGGATGGGCGCTATCAGGGATAGCGAAGTAACACAATTATTTTTAAATTCCAATCTTCGAAGGCTAGAGTTTGGAGGTAGTAAAAGACCAATTTTTGTTTTTAATTTGGATTTAATTTATTCATTGTATAATCTTTCTTTTTATTACAAACTAGCTGAAGTGCCAGAGGCGTTGCCCGTGGAATCTTAAAAATCGAATTAAAACAAAAAACTTATAATTTATTTAGCTTATGTCATCACCATGGGTATCCATGAGTTTCCTCACTAAAATTCGGCCCATTTTATTCAGCCGTTTGGCCAGCCATAGCAAACATAAAATGAACTAAGAGCTTTATTATGTAGATTTTAATTGTACTCCTAATTTTTTTTCAAAACAGAAACTTATACAAATCATAATTATTTGATGGACCTTTGCCCTTTTTTCATCTCATAGAATTTAAGTTTAAGTTGAGTTTTTCATTTTCAAAAATATCTTTTATCTACTCTGTAGTTTAAATACTAATTATAACATAACAGTAAAATAAAAATTTTGATTTTAAGAAACATGCTTTTTTTCTGCTAGTTTTGTTTGAAGGAGAGATAACGTTGTTAAAATAAATTCGAAATATAAGGAAGACGATTGTACCGACTCAAATGCCTCTGTTAATTCTCTAGATGTGTGTGTACGCAGGATCCATTTCCGCAATGAAGCAAGCACACCACACATGTCAAATCCCCGTTCATCCCAGCTCCCGGTATTCAGTCAGCTATAAACACTCAAGACATTCACAACTCCATCTCAACCCTGGCTCCTTCATGATGATGATGCAGATACTCAGCGCAACGCACCTGTTGATCTGCTCCACCAACATGAAGCTCTCCCCGTATTTAGTCAGCTATAAACACTCAAGACATTCACAACCGAAGTTTCCGCTATCTCGCGTTGCATTGCCTTAGTTCCATTGATAAGCCCTGTCGTCCCTGTTCCCAGATCTGCTCCACCAACTTG